GCCAATAGAATATTTTTGATAATATCATAATAATCATTTTTACACAATAAAAATAATTGTTATTTATGAGGCGACTTTTATTGTTTAAATTTTACAACTATATGTTTGTTTTTAATGCAGATTGTAACTCATTTCATTGCAACTAGATCTAGATGCAGTATAATCTATTCTATGACCAATGACTGAAGGCTTTTTATTTTGATATCATCACTGAAATCTCGTACATTCAAAGTTTAAAATTATTACAGTTAAAAATAGTTATTTTTACTTTATAAAGAGTTAAACATTGCAACAAATAAAGATTGAATGGAATAGAAGAACAAGAGGACTGATCCGCGGGAAGTTATGGTGCATATTCTGAATTCTTGGGAGTTGATCCGCATTCTAGGCAGACGTCCGTGCACGTTCCGCGCGTTCACGTGCTTGGTTCAGCGTGCGGAACGATCCGCAGCAATCCGCACTGATCCGCATTCTAGTAACGCCCCCCAACTGCTTAGTACCCGCCTACGCGAGTCCAATGACTGGTAGTTCATACAGAAACAATAATATTGAAGTAAATTAATAATAATGATCCTTGTTTATTAATGAGAGACGGATAGAACTCCTTCCAGTTCTAATCCTTCATTATATAACTATACTATAGACTGACCCCATTCATTATATAACTACTGTGTACTGACCCCATCATTCATTATAATTATAACTACTGTACACTGAAATGATCCCATTCATTATATAACTACTGTAGACTGATCCCAGTCATTATATGCTGTTGTGTTTCTTTCATTAGTTACAACCTACTGATCCTACTTATGCTATACTCCTACCACTGAATGTACTCCAGGAGCTGCTTCTACTGTAAGGACACTACAAGGAGGAGATGGACCACTTTCTTATCTACCACCTCCTCCTACTGGTAAGAATTTTTATGTACAATTTGGTTCATTTTTAAATGGCCATAACTCAAAAAAGTTTGAGTCGAATTAAGCTCAAATTGTTTACAGAGCATAAGGACATATGTATCAAAAATGTAGTAAAAATTGGGAGTAATTTTAGAGCCAAGTTTTAGACAAAAAGCATGTATACTGAAAAGTACATATACATGTTAATCATGCACTCTAGACTTGATGTTAAGTAGCAGTTCATAGTTTAACTGTACATGTTGTACATACAGGTTACTAAAGAAAGGTGTTTGATATACTACACAATGACATTCTTACACACATCACATTACTGTAATAACTAAATCAATTCACATACACTATATACCTAGCACATACTTATATCCAGTCATCATTTAGTGTACATTAGCAAGAATAACATTGACCTTCCTCTACCTGTCATGACATGAACCATATGTGTATACATGTAACACACAATAAGCTGACAACAGCCTACACAGGGTATCATATGTTTGACTGTAAGATACAATGAACTAGCACATGATAGACAAGAGGACATGATAGGCAATGTGCTTAAGCACATGCTTTATAGTGATCAGTATTAAGTATAGACTCAGTAATTGTATATATTACTATTATTCATACAATATTCACTAGGTCAGTACAGTGTTCTTAGAGCCAGTGATGATGATGATGATACTCCCCCACCAGTACCAGCCTATAATCCTAATGGAGTACAAGAATACTCTGAACTGAAGAGAGAGGGAGAGGTATAATAAACCAAATACCAGACATACAATAACAATAATGTATAATAGAAAAATAAACAACAACAACAACAACAATTAACAACAAGGAGCTGGTCCACTTTATTCAACACTCAATCAAGACGATGATACTCCTCCTCCTGTCCCTCCTGCCTATAATCCTGAGGGAGTACAGGAATACTCTGTATTGAAGAGAGAGGGAGAGGTCAGTCATTAATGAGAGAGTCTTTTAAAAATGGATCATATAATGTATTATTAATAGAATAAGGGTCGACAGGCTCTGTCTACTGGTGCTACTGGACTATATTCAACCATTAATAAAAACACCAACAACCAGGTATGGATACATGTACATAATCCACTCTTGACATAATGTATTGGGTTTAATGAACTACGTAATAGTTAATACATGGGGTGGCGTGATCTATCTGATTTATCCGCACAAGCTTCGGGTTGAGTCGCTAAAAATAGCGCATGAGGCCAAAGGCCGAGTGCGCTATTTTAGCGATGAGACCGGAAGCGAGTGCGGATAAATCAGATAGCACACGACGCCACATGTATTAATTGTTTTAGTGTATAGTTCCAGCAAAGATTGCACATGCTCTGCTATCACTGATATCACACTGCTGCACATTAATTAAATGAGTGTGCTATTTATAATATCACACTGCGGTATTGGTGGGAGTGTTCTTTGGGTTTTATCACAACTGTTAGGCCTTTGATCTTTGCTGCAACTATACATTAAATGTACATAATGTATTGGGTTCAATGAACTACATGTACATAATGTATTGGGTTTAATGAACTACATGTACATAATGTATTGGGTTTAATGAACTACATGGACATAATGTATTGGGTTTAATGAACTACATGGACATAATGTATTGGGTTTAATGAACTACATGTACATAATGTATTGGGTTTAATGAACTACATGTACATAATGTATTGGGTTTAATGAACTACATGGACATAATGTATTGGGTTTAATGAACTACATGGACATAATGTATTGGGTTTAATGAACTACATGTACATAATGTATTGGGTTTAATGAACTACATGTACATACAGGGGCGTCGCTGGCCTTGAAAGATTGGTAGGGCACTAGGGCCATAGAGGAGAAGAAAGCTTTTTGCGTGCAAAGCGCGCAAAAAAATTTGCCATATCTCATTAATATTCATGATGGGTGTGGTCAATTAATTGATTGATTGATTGATTAACTTTTGACGCCCAAAATTCATAATGGTGTTCATTTCCAGCAATTAATTGCTAAACTACCGACTGTATTTCTACATTATGAGTCAGTTGTTGGTGTGTGTGAAGAAGTAAGCAGTGATTGAGTCTTTCCTGGATAGTTATTAAATGAATTAACTTGAATTAATAACTAATTTTAATAAAAATGGCTACTGATCTTCAAAATATTGGTGGGGCAACTGCCCTACCTGCCCCTTAGGCAGCGACACCTCTGACATAATGTATTGGGTTTAATGAACTACATGTACAGTTTTTGTAAAACACATCATATAAAGGAAGGGAAGAGGGTAATGGGTGAATTGAGTACATCCTTTTAGCTTTTAATGTAATGAGGTGAACTTATCCTTATGTAATCTGATGTACCACCTTATAGTAACTAATACACACATACCACAAGTACATGTAAATGCATTAGTATAGGTATGTACATTAGTATAAGGTATATTAGTACATAAGGTATGTACATTAGTAATTAAGGTTCATGTTGTTATATTCAATAGGTGTTAGTTGATGAATCAGCTCATAAGCCAGTGTATGCTGATCTGGCTATTGCTGCTAAAGGGAAGAGACCACAGGCAGCACCAACACAAGAACAACCAGTGGTATATGCATCAGTTAACAACAAAGTAATGATAATGTACATGTACATGTAATGGTATCTTATACATCCTCTCTCTCTCTCCTCCTAGTCTGTTCCTCCTCCCATTCCTTCTCCAGCTGCTCCTCATAAAGTATTGTATGCTGATCTATCAATAGCAGCTGGTACGAGAACACCAAAGAATAAACCACCCACTGAGGAAAGAGTAGTCCATGTAGCAGTCAATGGAAATTTAAGCCAATACACATTATACTGTATGGAGTGACACACCCTTTATCTCTCTCCCCCTCCCCTCTCTCTCTCCCTCTCCTCCAGAGGAAGTCCACTACTCAAGAGCTGATCATGGATAGGTTAGGTGGTCTGGATATTCCTCCTCCAATACCACCAAAACCAAAACCTTGAAACCAACACAAAGACATCAATTGTGAAATGATTAAGTCTATCTTGTATTCTCTCTCTCTGTCTTTCATTATAATGTCATGGGTATATAGTGTATATTCTTTTGTAATTTTTAGTTCATTCTAATCAACTAAACTGACAATGTATAAAGTATCATAAAGTTATAGTTAACGACAGCAATATTAACGATTCATCTACTCATTACAATTTTACTGGGAACAATCCTAATATATAACTATTGATGATCTTGAAGTTGATACAATATTGGATGGATCATCATCAATAACCACACCTAGTCCTACCAATCCTGATTTGAAGTAGCTTCATTCCTTTATTCAAGTGATCTGAATATGAGCAGTACACAGTACTGGGAACACCTATACCATGCATCTGAGCATTAGAAGTACACAGTACTGGGAACACCTATACCATGCATCTGATCATGAGCAGTACACAGTGCTGGGAACACCTATACCATGCATCTGATCATGAGCAGTACACAGTACTGGGAACACCTATACCATGCATCTGAGCATGAGAAGTACACAGTACTGGGAACACCTATACCATGCATCTGATCATGA